GCTTGAATTTGCTTCGACATTCCAATCTTCATTTCGCTCTTTTATCCAAAAGGGCAACCAAAACCGGCGCACGAAAGTGCATGGTTAATGGCTGTAACAACTGAAACTGATTTGACCTTTCGACGAGGATATAACAATATACGGTACGGATGATAACCCGGAACCAGTAGCAGGTCTTCGAGAAGCAAAATAAACACTGGCACCAAACTTGCGCGTAATAACAGAGGGGTCAATACAGAAAGCCCATTCAATAATGTTTTCAACCGCTGATTGAAGGAGATAAATGAAGTGCTGTAAAGCTGCTTGCCGTTATTACCAATAGGATGCGAATTTTTAACGTGTAACGTGATTTCCAATAAAAAGAAAGGGCACTAAATATGACCAAAAAGTGCTAATCATGCGGCCTTTTGCTTTCCTGAAGGTGAGCTTCATTCCGTTGCGGTCAGGTAACGCTGTGAAAACTATCCGATAACTGAATGTGACTGGCTTACTTGTTCGTGGTTTTTCAAATTGGCCAACAGCAATGCACGTTCTTCAAATAAAGCATCATAAGGAAATTTGGCAAGCAATTTGTTTGACGAGTAGACTGCATCCGGGTGTTGGAGGAATCGAATCAAGCGGCGACGAAGTCGTGCCACAGCTCCGGTTTTCGGTTGTTCTTCACAGACGCGATTCGCAAAAGGCTTTCCATCTGGTTGAATTGATCGAACACGAGCACTGAAGATATCAATAAGTAGCATGAACAGTTTTGACGAAATAATTACTTGTTCAAGGACAACAAATTTGTTTTGAAAAACATCAGTTCGAACCAGATCGATGGGTATTTTCGATACCGGCTTGACTGAACTAGTGAACCNAACAAAGATATGGAGTGCGTAAGCAAATAAAAGGGTAAAACAATACAATGAACTTAGTGTTGATGGGAGAACGTTTATTCTGACCAGCTCGTGAGCAGTATTTATTTACTGAACTTTCAACTGCGGAAAATATTTTCCCCACACAGACAACCAAGACGCCTAACAAAACAGGTACCAAAGACGTTACATCGTTTGGTGATGAAACGTTTGCAAATAAATAGGCAAGCTCGGAGAGCGGGCGAAAATGCATATTCGAGTCAACTAATTAGTTAACCATTGCAAGTCATAAATCGGCTGTCCCTGTCCATTTAGTAAGCGTTACTCGTCGCAGTCATTGCTATCATTCGAACGGGCCTGTTTAGAAACGTGTGCAACAATGCTTTACCACCTTCAGCGAAATTCATGCACCCGATTACGACTTTTAGTCCTTTGCACTCTGCCATCCTGATTCTATTTTCAGGTAAGGTGTGAGTAACAATGCTAAAAAGATTGAAATCATCATCAAAGATGTACAGCGAAATGAACTTCGCTGATCGCAGCCAAGCTCATAACATAAACCAGGTAGGAATGAAAATATGAGGGGGGAGGAGGGGCAGGGTGCCGAAAGTGAACCACTAGGGTGGACACACAAGACGGCAGCCGTCAAGTAACAAATCATTCTAAATTTTCTACGTGTCGTAAGGTCGTGTCATCAGCATCATCATGAAGTAGAACAGCAAGAGGACAATCACAGTATAAATTAAACATTTGTTGGCTAAACAGGTATCACCGAGTTACGGACTATCGACTTCGGCTAAATATAACTGGGTTTTCTGTAGATGTGAGATGTGGAATTCGTTCTTCAGAAGTGTAACTGCTTGAATAGTGACAAATGCTTGCCTTCTGTTACTTTTCGGGAGGGAGTGATGAAATCCGGCAACAGTATTTCACACTTCGAACGTTCAAACAAGCGTCAGAAACAGGGTGATGGACAAGTTTTACTGGATTTTAATGTTTTGATCCTTAATTATAAGTCTGTATGAAGATAAGACCGTAGCTGTAACCCAAATGAGAAAAAGAGGTCGATCAGGAGTAACGCCGCTTACAAAGATGAAATGCCACTGTGATCGTAGATGGTGGTGGTCAAGCTGTCTAAGTGGCTGTCATTGGAAACAGTAATGTTCGAGACTGGATACCGCCAGCCAACTTCAATGGCAAGCAGCTCTAACCCAATCAATACACTTGGTCCAACGATGCGCCGCTTCAAGCCCCAGACAGCCTTTGTATGGCCGCGGCCCCCTTCCTGGAAGTTGAGTGTATATTTATATAATCAATGAACCAAAAAGCAATTATTTTATCCCGAGTAAATACTTGGTTCTTGTGATTAAGAAGTTTATCTCTTCATCCAACAGTGCTTCATATTGTCACGACCTGGTCTCTCACCAGATTGATCAGGATCAATCACTGTCGGGTTCCTTCGACCTCGTCCAAAACACATTCAATTAACTTCTAAGAGCATAACGATATCCGGATCGAACAGTCGATCCCCGTTACAATAAAATCACCAATTCAAAAAGTACCTGTTAGGTTATTCTGAAAGGACGGACGCCGCAATGGACTAGATCCCGTTTGACGATCAAAGCACCGATCACATTGTAAGATTAGGTTTTATAGAACTCATCCTTCATTTCAGATATACAAGGCTCTGACGAATAGGCAGCGACGCCCCGTGCTGTCGACTAACACGGAACCATTGAGAAGTACAGTTTAAAGCCGGTTTCTGAAATAAACGTGCGAATCGAGTGTACACAACCTAATCCCGGCACCGGCAACACTACCAGCGAGAGACGCCAAATCACCTGACACAAGGACAGTGAAGAGTGATGAGGTTGAATATGAAAAACGCAATGCGATAATTGAAGTGGGGTCTGATTTGTGTTTCAGTGACACAGGCATATCTAACATGAATGTTTCAAGGGTCAGTGTATTGGTTGATCTGCGGACATTGAACAAGGCTAGGTTAAGAGATTTCGGTGTCCTCAATCCTATATCGTCTGAGTGGTTAACCTTGCTGGTTCAACACAGTGATGCTCCGGGAGTGGCAAACAGACGAGACAACTCACATGATTTGTAAGAAAGAGGAAGAACAAGAGAGACAAGAGAAACGTTTTCCCAAATGGTTGTATGAGCCGTCGGAACAAGGCATACTCCGCCGCAGCCCACGTCGAAGAAAGGGTTTTTCTTTGAAACCCTAACCTGGGCTCTCCATTCGAAATTCTGACCTCAAGGCATTGGGGCGTAGAACCAACGTGTGAACGTAACCAAAGCATCCGTATGGGAGCTCTTGCACACCTGTCAATGAGTTGTTCGGTGATGTACAGATCGTCGATCGGCCTCATGCATGTAACAGACGGAATTAGTGCAGGACTGGACGTTAGTGACTGGATAATGCCCAACTTGGGCGATCAGCAGCTGCCCAATGAAATGCGAAGAATTCTTCTACCGTCGGGAGGA